GGGCGTTCCACAGGGAGGGTGCAACCACCAAGAAGGCCCTCTGCCTGGTTCCCTGTAACCTCACTTCTCGCAGTGAGGGAACCACCAGAAGGCCCTCAGAGCTGGACCTCAGTGTCTGGGCTGAATGATGGGGGTGAAGACACTCCTTCAGGTATCCTGGGCTGAGGCCATTTAGGGCTTTCAAGGTCAGTGCCAACACTTTGCGTTGTGCTCGAAAACGTCCTGGGAGCCAATGTAGGTCTTTCAAGACCGGTGTTATGTGGTCCCGGCGGCTGCTCCCAGTCACCAGTCTAGCTGCCGCTTTCTGGATTACTTGCAGTTTCCGGGTCACCTTCAAAGGTAGCCCCACAGAGTGTGCATTGCAGTAGTCCAAGCGGGAGATAACCAGAGCATGCACCTCTCTGGTCAGAAAGTCTGTGGGCAGGGAGGGTCTCATCCTGCGTACCAGATGGAGCTGGTAGAAAGCTGCCCTGGACACAGAATTGACCTGCGCCTCCATGGACAGCTGTGAGTCCAAAATGACTCCCAGGCTACGCACCTGGTACTTCAGGGGCACAGTTACCCCATTCAGGACCAGGGAGTCCCCCACACCCGCCTGCCCCCGTCCCCCTAAAACAGTACTTCTGTCTTGTCAGGATTCAACCTCAATCTGTTAGCTGCCATCCATCCTCCAACTGCCTCCCAAGGCATGATGGAGAACAGCAACAACCAGGAAAAGATAGACATAATATTTTACAAGGGCAGGAAGAAACATCATGGACAGAATAATTGCCACACACAGGAAGAACAAGGATATAGTTTGAATGCTTCACCTGTAGCTTTATAAATCATTCAATGTGTCAATATGGATGGAAGTCGTTAATATTGCAGTTGTTGTATAAGGGATTGCTATTTTGACTGGAGTGTAATTGAAATTAATAAGATTTTGGAATGCATAAAATAAAGTAAATCATCCATCAATTCTAGCATGCGGGGGGAAAGGACACCTAAATTATATAATTTGGCATCTGAATGATTTATATTAGCAATTGTACTCTAATTTGGCATTGTTATAATGAGGCTATTATTGAATTATTGTAACTGAAAACTAATAAAAATTATATATATATTGCTCGCTGGAAAACGCTCCCCTTAGCCGTTAACACAAGCCTGACAGAAAAAGGCAGCATTGCAGATGCGAAAAGTTTGAGTAAGGTTGTTGACAAACTGGAGATGGTTGGAGGACCCTGCGAAGATTAAGGGGTTGGGATGTTCTCCTGCAGTCAAGGCCTTCCCAAGCTGGCAATTATGGGCTGCTCTAGCATGCGGCTCAGCGAGGCGTTCAGAAATTGGCACCAGACAGTTTGCAAGCCCAGATCCCAGAGACGTTTCTTCCAGATCCTTCCCAGAAGAGAAATTCAATTTGGATGTCCTGCCTTTGCAGGAATAAATACCTTACGAGCTCAGAGCTTGCCATCAGCACTGTCCTAGAACAGAATGGCTGCCAGGCAGGCCAAAGTTGCCTTTCATCGCAGTTCAGGATGCCCAGGGGAATTTTTCTGGCAGATGGTGATTAGGAATGGGCAAATCTGTCCATTTCAGTTTCCTTTCTGTTCTCCGTTCTCCAACTCAGTTCACCTGATTTCCACATCAGTTTGTGATTGATTTATTTTTTAAAGACAGCACAATTTGCATGCATTTTGGTACACCTTCCCACCCTTAAATTTCACTACACAGTGGTTTGGTTGTTTTTTTGCCAGAGTTTCCCTCTTATACAATAAATTTTCATGTGCTACTTTCACATTTCACACAGACTTCCCCCCAACGTACACATTTGTGCATGCATTTTCTGGGTCGCAAATTGCATCACAAAATTCAAATTCAAAATTCAGGTACGAAATGCGTTTTGCTTTGAGTATTGTTAACGGCACTGCAAATCTGGTAGGTTTGCATTGAGAGACGGACTGTTGGCCTGTGAGTCAGACCTTGCCTGCCTGAAGTGACTAACAGCATTTGCATCTGTTAACAACATTGTTTTATCCCAGTAGCTGCAAAGAAACTGTGTTTTTGTTCTGACGCACCACCTGGGTGACCGCGTGCTCCAACAGCAATGGAATTCACCCTAGCAAAATAGACCAAGAGGCCTGTTTTGTTTTTCTTAAAATAGGTGCATGGGATCCAGTCATAACCCACTCTTAATGCAATGCCTTGCAGCTATGGACCAGAAGATCTGTGGGCAAAATCCAGACTCTTGCAGAATGCCAATTCTCTCCTTCCACATTGGAAAAATTCAAAGGAAGAGAACTCCATGGCTTAGTCTTGTGATTGTGGCAGTGGGGCTTTCTGAGGGTCCAACCTGGGGGGTCCCCCGACCCATCACCCTCCATAACATGAGACCCCCGTAAACCTAGTCACTGACTGTCCAACCTGTTCATTTAAATAAACTTTCAATTTAAAAATACTTTATTTGCAGTATTAAATCTCAAAAAATGTGTCCTTTGGAGAATTCAGAAAGCTTGAGATCATCTTAATGCATGACAGGTCAACCTTTAGGTTCCCGTTCCATGAACTTTGGGAATGTGACATTATTCGTTACATTTCTTTCTTTCTTTTATATCCCACCCTTTCCCCTATGGAGCTCCAGATGGTTTTCTCCCTCCTCATTAGCTCAGTCGGTAGAGCACCAGACTCATAACCACAAGGTCGTAGGTTCGAACCCTGTGCTGGGCCGAAGATTCCATGGGGCTGCATTAAAAGCTTTTTGCAGCTTGATAATTAACTGTTGGTCGTTCTCTACTCTACTCAGATATTAATACTGCATAGTTGGAAGGGACAGGATGCATAAAAACGGAGTCCTTTTGGAATAAAAACATAATGGAGGCCCGTAAGTTAAATTCAGACTTTCGCTTGCAGAACTTTCTTCTGCAACATCACAAGAGCATCAAAGAGACATCCAAACACTTCATGATATCTTGTGCATATCATGGAATCAAGCCCCACACTGAACTGGTTTCACGGTGCTATTTTGTCGTTCTTCTATCTGAACTGCCTCGGAGTTCCCTTTTATTTCTTTCTAATAAAAGCTGGTAGGTACACCGGTCCTTTTCGTAAGCAAACAACACCACAAACTCATTCCTGCTGGGGTAGCTCAGCCGGTAGAGCACGAGACGCTTAGTCTCAGGTTTGTGTGTTCGAGCCCCACTTGGGCAAAAGATTCCTGCATTTCAGGGGGTTGGACTAGATGACCCTCAGGGTCCCTTCCTATTCTACGTTTCTATTTAATCATCCAACAATCCTGTGAGATAGGTTTGGTTGAGGGGCAGAGACTGGCTCAGGGAGAGCTTCATGGCTGAGTTGGAATTCGAACCTTGGTCTCCCAGGTTTTAGCCCACCACTCTAACCACTGAACCACCATTGGCTCTATAACCTGCTATAACCTCCAGGTTGGTAAAGAGAGCCTTAACCAACTTTGAGTCCTCCAGATGTTTGGACTACAACTCTCATCAATCCTAAAGGGTAAAGGGTAAAGTGACCCCTGGCTATTAGGTCCAGTTGTGGCCGACTCTGGGGTTGCGGCGCTCATCTCGCTTTATTGGCCGAGGGAGCCGGAGTACAGCTTCCGGGTCATGTGGCCAGCATGACTAAGCCGCTTCTGGCGAACCAGAGCTGCACACGGAAACACCGTTTACCTTCCTGCCAGAGCGGTACCTATTTATCTACTTGCACTTTGACGTGCTTTTGAACTGCTAGGTTGGCAGGAGCAGGGACCGAACAACGGGAGCTCACCCCGTTACTTGGATTCGAACCGCTGACCTTCTGATCGGCAAGTCCTAGGCTCTGTGGTTTAACCCACAGTGCCACCCATGTCCCTAGCCCTCATCAGTCCTAGCCAGGCTGTATACCTGAGTCAAAATGGGCTTACAAGACATCTGACCTCTTCCATCACTATAGAAGATCCCCAACATTGACTTTCAAAGAGATGAAACTTGGAACCTTACCCTATGTCATCATCATCATCATCATTATAATTTTCCTATTAAATTTGTATTCCGCCCTTCATCCGAAGATCACAGGGCGGTGCACAACATAGAAATACAAAATGAGAACGCAAAATGCAAAATGAAAACAAGAACAAACACAAACCAATACTTCACCCCCCTCACAGACACATTTAAAAGGCCTTAGGAGCCAATTTAAATCTTCAGTTTGAGCTTTGGGCCCCAATCCCACTCGAACAGCCCTTGAAAATATTGCTTAGATGTAACCTGTCAGAAGCAGAAGGGGACAGTCATTGGCTTGGGCACCAGCAGTACCCAGAAAGTACAGCAATGCGGAACATCTGCATGCACAAACAGGCTTTGCAAATATGAAATAAAAGGTATCTGGTGCCTAGTGAATGTCTCGTTTGCAGCTGTGGTTCCTAACCCAGTAAATGAGACAGGAGCCAGGCTCCGGATGGGGCCACTCATCAAATTAATTGCACAGACAACTCAATGGAAGCTTGCAGCCTTACTACCTCGGACGATTTGCAAACCCTGCTTTCCCCCCCAAAGGCAATCACTAATTCAGAATAAGTTTTAAAAGGGCAAACAAAATCTGAATGGGCACACCAAATTGAGTTATGAAATAAATTTTACATTTCCCTAACTGACCCTTCATGCCAGCTTTGTCCCGTGCTGTCAGTGAAGTTGCTCGATTTGGATTCCTGGGTTATCAGAGAATTGTAGAGTTGGGACACCCGAGGGTCATCTAGTCCAACCCTCTGCAAGGCAGGAATCTCAGATAAAGCATCCATGACAGAGGGCCACCCAACCTCCATGGAAGGAGACCCAACCACCTTCTGAGGGGTGTTCGCTCCACTGTCGAACAGCTCTAACCACCAGAAAGTTCTGCCTAGTGTTTACGTTACGAGATTTGAAGGAAATGCACCTCTCATCTTTACGGGATGCGAACAAGGCACTGCGTGCGAAGACCTCCAGTCTGCTTGCTTTCCAAAACAAAGCCCTGAAATCGTTCCCTACCTGGCGCCAGAGCAGTTTAGGTGCCGGGTCCTCGCTGCCGCTCCATGCTTAATCCCAGACCGCCAGTCGAGCGAGATGGAGAGCCATGGCCACCAAGAGAGAAGCTCTTCAGATGTCCCTCAGGGGACAACGTCCTCTCGACTCGGCCGCCTGAGAGGTGGTTGGTAGGACAGAAACGGCCGAGAAGACAGAGGTGTCAGAAGACGCCCACTCCAGCCTCTGCTGCTAGCAAAGGCAAGGGTGTTACTCACTGGGAATTACTGTACTATTAAGAGACCTACCCTGATTTGGTTGGCTTCCAAAACCTCGCTAGACATGTCCTTACCTGTTGTGAAGGAGGCAGCTCTGAACCATAGAAGATGGGGGTTGGGGAGGAATCTGAAGTTGGTTGGTTTTGGAGGTGAGGCTCAAGGCAAGGGAGCCTGGACGCTTCCCTATGTGAAATGGGGAGTGTGTGTGTGTGTATGTAGGGGGGAACAGAGCCAATATGTTAACATGGGCTGCATGCCTGACCCAACATGAGCACAGGGATGCAGGGAGCCTGTTACGGGCTTGGCTTCCCGCAGCGCAGATCGGCCTCAAATCAAGCTGCGACTCGCTTTCCCCAGAGACGTTAAGGAGCAGCTGGGATTAAGGAGCCGAGGAGGAATGTGGTTTGCTTGGTCCTGATGAGCCCCATACTGTACGGAGGCAGAGTCGCACGATGACAGATGGATAATCGCAGCCCCTTCATGTCTAATACCCCGGGATCGTGTGCTCAATCCGAACCCCGCTTGCAACAAGATCGAGAACCGCAAAAGTCACCCTAAGCAGTCATTTGCTTGCTAATTTCTCTAGCATTAAGCAATTAGATTTCCAGAGCCACCGACTTAACATCTGCCTCTGGAGACCTCCTCGTAGGGTTTCCAAAAGCAGGGAAGGAAGTTTCAAGGAAAAGTTTTGCAGAAGCATGTCACGCTTATAGCATGCTCTTCTTTTTTTCAAAAAAAACCTAGCTGGTTTTTCCTCACCTGTGCACTGTGGGGACAGCTTTCCCATGAAATAGTCACTATTTGCTTCTCTGATTACTGTAAAATGGGAGCAATCGTCCCTTCAAAGATGCAAAAACTAAGATGATAAAACACATTGGAAATTAGAAATGTTTTTCCTTCTTTTTTTTTTAAGCCATGGAGGTAAGGCCTCCGAAAAGGTGAGGTTAAATGCATCTTTGCCAAATGCAAATTGCATCCCTTGGGGGGAGGGTGTCCAACTAATATCAGGTATGCAGAAAGAGTGGGGAGGGCAGTTTAACCCCTTGCTCCCCTGCTGCGCTCCGGGTGAAAAGGGAATAGCTTCTTTGAAGGCTCTGTTTGCGCCGAGAGGAAATCCTGCGTTTTGCTTAAGAGCAGGATCAGTCCTGAGTCAGGCTGCTCTTTCCTAACCTCATTCTCCCGAACTGTGAAATGTGGGGTAAGTACTTTGGCCTACCTTACACGTTTGTTGCGAAATAATGTACGTGATGAAACGCCTTGGATCGTATCCAACAGCACGTCCTTCCTTTGTGACGGCTCCTTTGATCCAGAGGAGGCTCCTGTCGCTAGAAGGGAAGAGAGGTAATCATTGCCAGTTCCTCTTCTTGTCCCCCCCACCCTGCATCCAGCAGGCCCCCTCCCTCCCCAAAAATCTGCTTTGGTGGGCTTGGGACCCTGGAGAAGTGTGAGGGAGGAGAAATCAGAAAAACATGCTTCCTCCCCATTCTGCTGCTATATGTTTTTTTCCTGGACTGAACAGGACTTGAACGCTCCAAAGGAGTGTACTACAACTCCCATCACCCTTGGCTCTTGGCCAGGCTGAGTGGGGCTGGTGGGATTTGGAGTTGAATGATGCTTGGAAGGTACCTGCTTCCCCATCCTTGCACTAAACTTAAAACTGCTGTACAGTGGAGCCTTGGTTCTCGAACTTAATCCATTCCGGGAGTCCGTTCAACTCCCGAAACCGTTCGAAAACCAAGGCGCAGCTTCCGATTGGCTACAGGAGCTTCCTGCACTCAATCGGAAGCTGTGGAAGCCCCATCAGATGTTCGGCTTCCGAAAAACATTTGCAAACCGGAACACTCACTTCCAGGTTTCCGGCCTTTGGGAGCTGATTTGTTTGGGAGCCAAGCCGTTCAAATACCAAAGTACAGTCATACCTCAGGTTGAATGTGCTTCGGTATGAGCGCGTTCGAGTTGCGCTCCGTGGCAACCCGGAAGTAATGGAGCGCGTTGCTTCCAGTTTTCGCCGCTTGCGCATGCACAGACACTCAAAATGACGTCACGCGCATGCGCAGAAGTGGCAAAACGTGACCCGTGCACATGCAGGCGCGCGGACACGGGTTACGTTTGCTTCTAGATGCGAACGGGGCTCCGGAACGGATCCCGTTCACATCTAGAGGTACCACTGTACAGCTGTACTTTGAGAGTTGTTCTGAGTATTTCTGCGACACCCCACTTCACAGATGCGATTCCGCCTCTGGGAACGATCAGGAAACGATGGTGTTTTGATGGTGCCTTTCCAAAGCACCCCACGCCCTGATCCTTCGGGAGATACGGTGAGTGTCACAATAAAAATGGTGCACAGCCAAATAAACAAAACTGACTTGCCACCAAACTGTTTTCTTCACCTTTTGGAGGAGAAAGAGCTGTCCGAGGCACAGACTGTCCACGGCCTCTTCCCGGCGTTTTGGCAAAGGTCACAAAATGTTTGTTTCCATCACCCTCTACCTCCCCTCCCCCAAGTCTTCATTGTTGGTGTTGACCTTTAAAGCCCTAAACGGCCTCAAAGGGCCAGTATACCTGAAGGAGCGTCTCCACCCCCATCGTTCTGCCTGGACACTGAGGTCCAGCGCTGAGTTCCTTCTGGTGGTTCCCTCACTACGAGAAGCCAAGTTACAGGGAACCAGGCAAAGGGCCTTCTTGGTAGTGGCGCCCACCCTGTGGAACACCCTCCCATCAGATGTCAAAGAGATAAACAACTACCTGACATTTAGAAGACATCTGAAAGCAGCCCTGTTCAGGGAAGTTTTTTATGTGTGACATTTTAGTGTATTTTTAATCTTTGTTGGAAGCCCCCCAGAGTGGCTGGGGAAACCCAGCCAGATGGGCAGGGTACAAATAATAAATTATTATTATTATTAATTGGTCCATGCCTTCTGTTTAGGAAGGTTGAATTGAAAGGCCTTGGCAGCAACAGCGTAGCTAGCTGCTCGGGTACCCAGGGCGGCACATGCGCCCTGTACCTGGGGGCTTAGCAAGCCAGGGCAGGGTGCCACTCCCCCCCCCCAGCTGTAGGGCAGCTAAGGGAGAGGTGATGGGCAGACGCAAGCCCCACGTGCCGTTTCAGGCACTGTGGAGCCTGCAGGCACCCAAACCACCACGTCACTCCCAGGCTCGGGCACGCTGCAGGCCCCGCGATAAGTGCCAGCCCCCACGGTGTGGCACCCAGTGCCAGTTGCATTTCGTTGTGTTTGTTAACTAAAATGTTTCGTGAGCCCCTCCCAAATTATTTTAAAAACTCATATTTTTGCCATTTTGTCACCCCCTCAGTGATGACACCCAGGACAAACCACACCCACTGCACCCCCCTTCCTATGCCACTGCTTGGCAGGAGGGGTTGGTTCCATTCCATGCATCATTTGTCTGATGAAAATAATTATAATACCCCACCCACCGTAGCCGAGTAAGATGGTGATTGTAAGGTGATTGTGGATGTCAGTTCTGGATCCACACGTCCTTCCACAGTGGGGACATTGGTTTCCGGGCAGGAGTTGATCCCGGTGAGGGTTTGCCAAGCGTGCCTTCCTCTTAGCACGTTTCTCCCTTGCGTCCTGAGTGTCTTCAAAGCCCATGACACCTTTGGTAAAGGCTGTTCTCCAACTGGAGCACTCGCAGGCCAGTGTTTCACAGTTGTCAGTGTTTATACAATGGTACCTTGGGTTAAGAACTTGATTCGTTCTGGAGGTCCGTTCTTAACCTGAAACTGTTCTTAACCTGAAGCACCACTTTAGCTAATGGGGCCTCCCGCTGCCACCACATGATTTCTGTTCTCATCCTGAAGCAAAGTTCTTAACACGAGGTACTATTTCTGGGTTAGCAGAGTCTGTAACCTGAGGTACTACTGTACTACATTTTAAAAGATTTGCCTTGAGAGAGTCTTTAAACCTCTTTTGTTGACCACCAGCATTACGCTTTTCATTTTAAAGTTCAGAGTAGAGTAGTTGCTTTGGAAGACAATAACCAGGTATCCGCACAGCATGACCAGTCCAATGAAGTTGAAGAATCCTTGCTTCGACACCGGTGATCTTTGCTTCTTCCAGTACAGTGGCATTTGTTCGCTTGTCTTCCCAAGTGATGTGTAATTTTTTTCAGAGAAACCATTGATGGAATCTTTCAAGGAGTTGGAGATGGTGTTTATGAGAGTAAACAGTCATTCTCCCAGAGCTACAATTGCCAACATGCTTAATGAACTGCATCTACCTGGGTTCTTTGGAGGATCCATGTGTTTAAAATATATGGTATGGATGGGGTCTTAATTCACCTCTGTCGATGGGATGGGACAAGACAGGTGGAATCTACACACATATTAAAAAAAGCTGTGAAAATGCTTTATGAAAAACATGTTTTGAAAAATACATTGAATTTCCCATAGCTCACTGTCACCATCTAGTGTCACATTTGTATATTGCACTTTATAACACACTAAAATCATTTTATTTGTAGCTGTACAGCTGAGTCCAGCTTCTCTGAGTTATTCAAGCCCCTTTGCCATGCAAGACATTGAATTCTGGTGCTGGAGGAGACTCTGGAGAGTCCCATGGACTGCAAGATGATCAAACCTCTCCATTCTTAAGGAAATCAGCCCTGAGTGCTCACTGGAAGGACAGATCCTGAAGCTGAGGCTCCAAGACTTTGGCCACCTCATGAGAAGAGAAGACTGCCTGGAAAAGACCCTGATGTTGGGAAAGATGGAGGGCGCAAGGAGAAGGGGACGACAGAGGACAAGATGGCTGGACAGTGTTCTTGAAGCTACCAGCATGAGTTTGGCCAAACTGCGGGAGGCAGTGGAAGACAGGAGGGCCTGACGTGCTCTGGTCCAGGGGGTCACGAAGAGTCGGACTTGACTAAACAACTAAACAACAACAAGCTGAGTCCAGAGTGTCCTCCGCTGCACCTGGAGGCTGTAAGCTAATTTAGGGGGTGAAGGGGAGGTTGCCAGGAAA